CCAGGAGAGGGTCACTGCCACTCTGGCCACCTGCTCTGCAGCCCAGCCAGCAAAACATAACTGATGCTTCTCTGTGCTCGTGTCTGCCTTCCCTGCGGCTCTGAAGACACCTGGAGCAAAGGAGGAGCTGCTGTGGGTGCTCCCTTTGGCAGCTTGGCTGGTAACATCTGGCAGACAGACAGAAAGGGCACTGAGAAGCAATAAAATTTAAACAGCTTTTGCACTTGCTTGGCAAACTGGGAAACCCTGACCTTACTGCTTGGGGCAGACGTGTGGACCTCTGTGCACTCTCCCTATTAAAAAAAAGGGATTACCTCCTTCCCTTCCCAGATTCTTACAGCTAGGGTTGGATTAAAAACAGAATTTCCTTCTCCAAAGCCAATTTCACAGTTGCAAAACATGTTTTCATCCCAAAATTGGGCAAAGAAAGCCTGTTTCAGATCCTTTTTTCCACTAAAAAAAATTTGTAAAATACTCTGTTGAAATGTTCCTTTTTTGATGAGTGAGATTCTCTACTTAAGTCCTTTGTATAAAATGACAGCAAAACATTGACCTCACTGAAATGAAATGCCACAATCACCCATCATGGAAATTTTGTCAGGATCAATAGGTTCCTGTGAAACTGTTCAATTTTGTTGAATCAGCAAATAGAAATCAGAGCTAGAACAAAACTCTGACCTTACTGAAACATTCAGCCGTGACAATTGCCCATCAAAAGTGTTAACAGATCAATAGATTCTTGCAAAACACTTGATCCTGCTGTTCCAGCTGCTTTCCAGCAAGCTGCAGGTAGGCTGTGTGAGCAGGTGGATGGAGTCCCATCCTTGGGACTCCTCTCCCTGGTTACATGCAGGGCACAAGCACATCCAAGCTGGCTCTCCCCAGTGTCACCTTCTCAGGTGGGGGCTGAGCCCCAGAGCCCACCACATCCCAGCCAGCCCCTTCCTCCAGCTGCCAACCACTTCACAAGCAAGCTCACAAGCTCTCTTTATTCTCTATTGCTTTATCTTCTCCACCAAATGCACGAGTAAGAGAAAACCCCAGAAATTCTAAAATTTCCCTTCACTTAGGGAAGGAATTGTGACAGACTTAAGGATTTCTAAGATCCTGCTCTGAGTCCAGGGAACACCCCACTTTCTGGGTGCCTTTTTTAACGCCATCAGCCCTGTGGAAGTAGCTCTTGGAAGTAACTCTTGCTGGATCCCCTCCCACAGTCACTGCCCTTGGCCATGCTCGTCTTTAGAAAGCTCCAAGGATCTGCCCACATGACAGACCTGAGATGAGATGAGCCACCAGCATTCCTGCTTCGGGGCACAAAAGCACCCTATGGCAGCTCTGCTGTCCCCTCCCCATGTCCCAAGGCAGAGGACAGTGTGCCTACGCCCTGACTGGACATGCTTAGGGCTCACTAGCCAGAAGGGAAACCAGGAGGGTGCTCCAGCACCTCCAGCCAGACAAATCAGACCTGGAGGTTATGGTCAATGGACAAAACCAAACAGAGACAGCCTCTGGGTTCACCAGTGAGTCATCTTTCATTTGATAACAAAGCCCAAGATAAATCTTTTTTCCAGAGGTCATTTGTCCATGCCTAGATGCATGTCTGTGGGGAAGGTTTAGACTTTGAAAAGGAAAACCAAGAACTAAGCTGGCTTCCAGACATCACTGCACAATGAAAAGCAACACCTTGAATCATTCCCTAAAAGACTTCCCAAAGGCAGAGGTGATTGCAGAACCAAATAGTGACACATGGCTGTGATGTCCTCTTTGCTGTTTCTTCCTTGGGTCATGTTGTACATTGGTTTTCAGTGCTGATAGAGGACTCAGTTTACCCACTTGCAACTCATTTTTACCTCTCCTCTGAAACCAAGCAGCAGCAAAGCCTTGAAGGACAGTCTTGTGCTACACTGAAAACAGAGTTTTCTTGCATGAAACAGAAAGTTTCATGGCCAAATGAGATAAAAGGAGAAGCAAAGAGGAGGACGCTGTAAGACCCACCTACACAAAAAGCAATCATTTCAACCCTCCAGGCCCTACAGAATCATGGCTTTGTTATCTCAAAATGAGTTTACTAAGTTTCATCACAGCAGGGACCAAGTTCAGCGCTCAAACCAGAACACCCAGGTTTTCAAGAACAGCTAAAAGAGTAACATTACACAGCAGAGAGATCCTATTTCCTGAAAATCACATACTCTCTCCATCCCTCACTCTGTCAGGGATTTGTGCTCAGACTGAAAGCTTTAGTGATGGCTGTGTCCAAACACAACTTTTCTGGACTGGATTTCACTGTCACTGCTGTAACAACCTGACAGCCCAGCAGTGTGCCTGCAACAGCCCTTCCTTGGGGTTCCACGAAAAAGCTGTATTCACAGCCCCCCATACATGCATTACTGAGGGAAAATTCCCGTCCCCTCACCTCCAAGAAGGAAACTCCTCTGCAACCCACCATGCTTTCCCCAAGCCTCATCATTATGAGCTCTGCTTTGGAATTAGGGACTCAATCCCATCACCATCGTAACCCCTTTGAAGATGAACTCTACACCTGCATTTACAGACCAGACCAAGAAACAGCTGTCTCCTCTGAATTTTAGATATTACCCACAGCCTGAAGCTCACTGGAACATCCCTGGCCTGTTCCTCATCTCCATCCTGCTCCATGCTGCCAGGTGACACAGGATGTAACACCAGGATGTGCTGGGCAGCCACCACTACAGGCATCTTCCCAACTCTCCCAGGTGTGCCTACTCTTTTTTATTTTTTTGGCAATTTTCCTTCACCTCCCTCCCCTCCATTCAACAACAAATCACCACCACAGCCAGACCACCTACTCCCATTCCTGCTATTCCTTCTTAACATGCTGTCAGGAACTGCTGGTCCTTAAGAAAGGTCCTTAATTGTTGGTTCTTAAGAGAGGGAGAGGTGAGCTGAGGACACTGAGCACATGGCTGCCAAAGGAACAAACCAGACTTAATTTCTATCCAAAGGGAACATACTTGTCTCAGGGGGAGAAAAGGACATTAACCTGAATTTGTAAATACAGTTCTGGGTTTGGGGTCTTTTTTTTTTTTAGAAAATCTTTTTATCTTTATTGAGACACCCACTTATCCAGAGAGAGCAAAAACATATCTCAGCTGAAAAACTGGACTCATAAAAGCAAAGCAAAGAATCAAAATAATTAAAAAAAAACCACTTAGTTTTGTAATTACTGGGATATCGACTAAGCTCAGCTTTCCAGCCACTTCGCTGTAACACACTCAGGTCACCTCCCTTATTCTTGTATTTGTACCTGGGTGCAAAGCACAAGGAAATACAGCTGGAAGGTGTATTTCCAATACTCAAAGCACCATCTGGATGCCTGCCTCGTTTGTCTGTGTGCTCCTATCCCAGACAGATCTCAACAAGACATGGGCTTTGAGAAAAACAAAAAAGGTGAAGTTTGCAACTTTGCAAGGAGGAGTAATGATACACTAAAACACTAACATCTGATTAGAAGTGGAAGCCTTGCTTCCAGATAGATTTGGGGAATGCAAATCTTGTCTTGGAAAGATGCAGAGGTAAGAAGGGAAGCTCACAAACCTACAGAGCATCCTTACACGGGACTATGTTTAGGGTATGTCCTCCATGGAATTACAGGGCTGTGTTTCCACGTGCACATCTAAGAGGCAGGCAGGCATTTGGGTGAGGAGACTGGTAAAGTGTTGGAGAATTAAAGAAAAAAGTGTGTGTGAGGGATGAGAGGAGCTGCCCAGCCCTGCCCTGCCTGCAGGAGACAGGCACCAACAGGCAGCAGGGCAGGGAAGGTGCCAGGGAAAGCCTGCCCTGCAGCCGGCACCCAGGAGCCGCTCTCCCTCCAGGCAGAACCAAAAACGGGCCTAGGCACCCTGAACTCCGAGCAAGCCTCGACTCATCCTTGCAGCCACCCAGGCAAAATTGAAAACAAAGCGGGGAGAAGCAGAGCACCAAGCCTGCACCTGACCGGGCTGCGGGTACTTGGGCAGAGAGGCGTGTTTCTGGAGAAACCAGGATTAGGATGAGGAGGATGGTAAAATGAAGGAGATAAAGAAGGAGGTTAAGGAGAAGGAGAAAAATGAGGAGAAGGTGCAGAAAGAAAGGTGAGAAGATGCAGGAGGACAAGAAGATGAAGGAGGCTGAGAAGGGGGAGGAGGGCTCCCCGGCTGCAGCGTGCAACACTGCCGAGTCTGTCATCATCCTCGGGCGGCGGGAGGGCGGGGGAAGGAGGGGAGCGGGGCGGCCTCACCTGATGAGGTCCAGGAAGGAGTCCACCGTCTCCTTGCTCTTGGGGAGCGCGCCCGGCAGCCCCAGCTGGGTGTTGAGCGCGGAGGCACCGGCGCCGGGGCGAATGATGAAGCCGAGGGCGACGGCGAGGCCGGAGGCGAGCAGCGTGGTGCCCAGGAAATAGGCGACCGCGATGCCACCCAGGCGGCCGAGCGAGCGGGTATCCAGGCTGGCGGCGCCCGACACCAGGCTGCAGATCACGAGCGGCAGGATCACCATGCGCAGCATCCGCAGCAGCAGCTCCCCGGGGAAGGCCAGGTAGGAGACCTGTGCCGGGCTCAGCTCCGCGCTGCGCACGGCGGCCCCCAGCGCCACGCCGGCCACCACCCCCGACACCGTCAGCAGCACCAGCGCGTTGCGCCGCAGGAACCCGCGGCAGCCCCGCAGCCGGGCCCCGCCGCCCCGCCGCTCCTCGGCCGCCGGGCCCTCGGCATGGCCGTTCCGGCCGTGGCCTGCCTTGCTCTCACCCGCCGCCGCCGCGTCCTCCATGCTGCGCCGAAGTGCGGCTCCGCGTGTGCCGCTAGCGTGCGGCGCTACAGGCACGGACTGAGCGGCGGGCCCGCCCCGCCCAGTGCCGGGAGCGGCACCGCCCCGCCCGGGGGAGGGAGCGGCAGCCCCCGGCCCGCCCCGTGCCTGCCCGGCCTGGGCTGGCTCGGCGCCATCGCCGCCTCTGGGCCCGCGCTGTTCCCCCGCGCCCGCCGTGAGGCGCCTCCGCGGCCTGAAGGCCCTTCCGTGTCCCCGCGGTGGCCCAGAGATCGCGCGTGTCTCCCCACGGCTTACACATATCCCCATCACCTTCCCGCCCACCTTTGTGTCCCTGTGGGTCACACTTGTCCCTCCATTGTCCCCCCCTCAGTATCCCTATTGTTAGTACACACCGCTGTAGTGTCCCCATAATTCACACGTGTACCCTCCATCGCGTCCCCTCAGTGTCCCAGGGCTCACAAGTGTCCCCTCTGTTCGTGTCCATGACCCCGTGGATCACACGGGTCCCCTCACAGTCCCCCCTCAGTATCATCAGAGTTCTTAACACACCCCTGCAGTGTCCCCATAGTTCACAGATGCCCCCTCAATGTCCCTACAGCTCACACATGTCCCCCTCCCTATTCTCGTGGTTCAATAACGTCCCCTCAGTGTGCCCGTGGCTCACACATGTCCCCCTCAATGTCCCCATGGTTTGCATACATCCCCATCAGTGCTCCCACAGCCCACCTGTCCATTCAGAGACCCCCTCAAATTCTTCACAACTCACACATTGTCCCCATCAGCGGGGTTCACCTGTGCCCTCAGTGTCCCCCTCTCCTCTGCAGGAACCTCTAACAGAGGCAGGAGCCACTCTCTGCACCAGGACAGGTTGTGTCTGTGTCCCCTGTCTACATGGTCAAAGCCATTCAGCAGGTCCGTGGGTTCATCCAGGGACTCTGAGCACCCTTCCTTGAGGAACTCATGTCTCACCTCACAAGCTGGTTGTCTGAGGAGCAGACAGTGTCAGTGATGATACACAGAGCTGGAAAAGGGCACTTGTGGGTGCACCAGTGTCATGTTTGCTCACAAGGGCACTTCCAGGAGCTCCAGCTGGTGTTTGGACTCTGTCAGGGGCTCCATTTCAGCTCATTCCCTTGACATCAGCAAAGCACAGCCTAGCAGAAAACATGCTGTGAAAACAGCCAGCCACACATCTGCTTTTTGAGTAGACTGCATTAATTAAGGTGACTGACAGGGTGTGATGCAACAATAATCCCGATTTAATAAGACTTTTCTGTTTTCCAATCTCATGGATAGGCCTGAAGATCGCTATATCATGGCTGGAGCTCCTGGGAGTTGTTTGTGTGTAAATAGGTAACAACACCACTGACAAGCAGCTGTGTCTACCAGCATCCACTTTGAGCCTTGATGAAAATTCTTGATTCACTCTTGCTCTGAAATTAGACTCATGATACTAGCACATTCTTATTGATTTTGTATTTTTTTCCTTGATAACTTTCCCTTTGAGTAACACTTAGTTTGTTGAAGTCTGTGAATCAATGTCCCATCAAATCAACAGATATAGGAAACAGAGACTAAACAGAAAAACAAGTATCTGCAAACACTTTTAAAGACATACAATTCCACAAACCTCAAAAAGAACAAAAAAATTATTAAGATCTTTTAAAATCGTGTTTGAATTTTTTTCTGCAAATAGGTTTGTGAATAATAAACAAGTTGCTGTCCAACATAATTGTTTCTTTCTCCATCAGAAGCATTTCAAAAATGGTTTTTAATTAATATTTTCAGAGCAGTCCTTGTGAAAATGTCATGCTTCATTTTTCCCTGCCCTTCTCTCTTGATCTCACATTTTTTTTCTTTCAATTTACCCATGAAAAGGGAAAGAGAAAAGCAGAAAAGAAATTACAACAGAAAATTATCATATAAATATAAAAATATGGAAATCTATTCCTTGTTTCGGACAAGAAGAGATTCTAAAAACCAAACAACAAACATAAATGCTGTTCCCTTGAGCAAACTGAAAGCAAGGGGAGAAATTCAGGAAAGTGTAAGCAAGAAGAATGTATTAAATCAGAAAAGTCACTGATAGCGGCACATATATGAGACCAGTGCAAGAACCAACACGGAACCTTTTCCACCATGTGACAGTGGACTCCTTCTCTCTTGGAGCATCCCCTGTGTCCTTGTGGGACTGACCTTGCTCAGAGCAGTGCCATAGAACTGCCAGGGGGCCTGCAGAAACACACACCTCCAGAACTGTAGATCCCAGTGAAAGTTCTTGAACCCATGCTGAGGCTGTTCAGTCATAGCCAACCCTTCCAAAACAACACTTTGACATAGGCATGCTGGTGTCAAGCTTCCTTGTCAATAACACCATGAGAATTCCCCCTAATTTCCCCTTCCTTTTTCCCCCTCTCTTGATTGTTTAATTCAAATACTGATCCAGTTATCCTTCCTCTCTTGACATACCTCCAGATGTCAATGCTTTTGCCAACAAGAAGACAACAGAGCACATGAACCTCCCACCATACAACTGGACATCATCCCAAAGATGTTCTAGGCAATGCTAACTGTTTTTCCACCCTGTGAGAGTTCATGGATGGCTGCAGTGATTAACCCTGAAGCCCGCTGGCTTATTCAGTAGTAATTGTTGACTGATCCATTGTGTCATGTTTTCATTTCAGCGCTTGTAGATCTTGGGAGCTTTCCAGTGAGTGAGTCTGCATGCTTCCAATGTCCACCCTGTTGGTGCTTCTAAATTAGGGATTTTGACTTTCCCTCTTGGAACCTGAAGATTCTTTTTTTGGCTTAAGTGGCTTTCAGCTGCATAGGGCTAGGGTGCTTCCTCCAGAAATCAGCAGAGGGATCATGAACAGGCAACAACAACAAAACAACCAGAAAAAAAATCCAGTTACTTTTAAATAAATTTTTCAAAATCCTTTTGCTTTCAGTGAAAAAACAGCCAATATAGTTTTCACCACTGGCCCAGTAGGAAGATGTCATGCTGTTTTCCAGTCAAATTCAACTTGATACCAGTTTTTGATGGTAGGTATTTGAATTCCGGCCTCAGTGGAAGGAATGAAAAAATCTTAATGGCTGTAAGGGAACCAGGACCTTTCCTTCTGTGTTTCATCTGCACATCAGTGCAGATGGATGCTGATAATAACACGCTGGAAATGTAGGATTGTAATGCCCCTAGGAAACAGAGGTGATTGTTTCTCACACCTGTGGAAGGTCAACACAAAGACTGGAAGAAATTTCTTTGCTAGGGGAGGAGAGGACTGCCTTTGAAGAGCTGTTTGCAGCTCCCTGAGTCTCATGCCTGATACATACAAGTCTCAGCAGCTGGCACAGGTTAGAGTAGCCCTCAGGCCACAATTTCCTACAAACCTGCATAGCAGCAAGAGTGCAGAGAACGCTCATTGTGCCACCTCCGCTTTCCGTGTCTTCCTGCTGCTATTTCCCTGTTCCTAAGACTGGCAAGGTCATCTGCAGCTTTTTCTTTGGGTCTGGCTGCTGTTTGCTCTCTGTTTTTGGGAGACCCAGTAGAAACATCAGCAGGATTCTATATAAGTAATCCATCAGTTGTCTCCTGCAACTGCTTTGATTTGAAGTAGTTTGAAGACTGATGCCTCAAAGGCATGGTGGGGAAGAGGGAACAAGATGAAAGGGAAGACTGCAGGAAGGGGCTGTATTTTATACCCATGTTTTTCAAGAGAAGCCTGAATAAAGGTGCTCCCAAACTTCCCACCGGAGATGTGCTGGGCAGCCTGCAGTGTCCTAAGGGGCTGTATTACAATGTGGCCTTTTTCTGAGGAGGATTCATGAAGAGCACATGGGAGAGATCTTGTTTTCTACTGAGCAAAATGAAGTCCTCAGAAGAGCCACAGCACATGAGCTGAGGCAGGAAGGTAGAGCACTTTCTTGGTATGCAGACTTTAGTTTGGCAAGAAGAGTTTGTTGGGCCTGGGATGCTGAGCAATTTGGAGCGACTCCAGCCCCGTTGCAGAAATCCTCTATGTCTGCATCTGGGAGGAACATGAGATGTGTTCCTCGGCTCTTCCCAGTGCCCCTGGCCTGCTCACCTCATTGCAAGCTGGATGCAGGACCAACCACCCATGTATGGTTACCTGGATTTACCAGAATGAGCCAGATTTCAAGACATCTGAAACGACAGAAAGAAACCCCCTGGCCTCCTGTGATGACAGAACCAAAGAATATTGCTCTGGTCCTGCTTCATTTAGGTTCCTGGCCAGCAACTGAAATAACACAGTCCCAAACACAATCCTACCACAGTGTCACATGCTGATTCAGCATTTCTCCAGGCTGGGTAAGTGTTCACACCTGATCAAAAATATTCTGGGTAGGAAAAAAAAATGTCATCTGTAAATGCATTTTCTATTAGCAAAGGCAGGCAAGGAATTTTGCAAATACCACTTGCTTGCCCAAACTCCAACAAAATATAAACTCTACAGACAGGGATGGTTGACCCAGGGTAAATATTTAACTTTATCCTTCAAAGGTACATGCAGTTTTACCAGAAAGAAGATGAAAAATATAGAATAATACCCACACACACATACCCTGTTTACTCTAAGGATCCTCTTAGAGCTCTGGAAACAAAGTTATACTGAGGCAAGAGTAATTTTTAAACTGTGTGTGTTGTTCCCTTTTTCAAAACTATTATAATATGAAAACATGAAGAAAAACTAATCACCTCCCAAGAACAGTAGAATTTTTTTCCTTCATAAGCTCTCTCTGAGGTTTTTCTTTGAGTTTAAATCAAGAAAAAGTAGGGAAAAGTAGGAAAAAAGGGCAAGAACAAGAAGAGACATTCAAGATCTTGGATATGTGACAACCTGTCCTAGCAGGGGACATTGCCTCTAGCTGGTTGGGGAAATTCAGGGTCAGGCTTTTCAAAACAAGCTGGGCTGATCTGAAAACAAGCAGTGAAGCTTTGCTACCTAAGAGCAAGGGAAGCGACCAGAGCGTCTCAGCCATGGGAAGCGTGCTTGAATGAAGAGCTTGAAAATGCTCCAAGTGCCTGCTGATTTTTCCCATGGTAGTGGGTTGATAAAGTGCCTTGCCACTGGCAGGAGGTGGATAAGTTGGACATCTGAGGGTTTGCCTGGCATTCAGGGATCCATACACAAGCAGAGCATGCATTGATTCACATCAGTCGTATGGAATATGCTATAAAAAAACCACATTAGGGGGGAAAAAAAAAGCGTGAGCAATTTCTGAACGCTGATTGTGATTCAGTGGCTAAAAACAACAAGGAGAATCTCTATCCTTACGTATTTCATCCCTGATTACAGTATGACAATGAATACTGTATCCCTGATTATGGGTGACAGTAAACTGGGATGACAGCAAACAGGAATGACAAAGCTTCTGCCAAGAAACATAGGGGAGGAGGCAGCTGCCCTCTGTCCACTGTAAGGCTGCCTTCCCATGGCCCCAGCTCACTGCAGGATGTGACAGTGGCCACACCAAGGAGCTGTGGGAGCCAATGTGGGGACCAAGTTACTGAGAAGTAACTGGAAAAGAAGATAAGGGTGAGCAAAGCAACAATGTGGTATTTTCAGAGAATGCTTTCTAAGTATCCAACAATCTGCATAATTCCAGGTGGTCCTTCCATTAATTTTCCACCTGGAAATTTGTCTGCTGTGTTTTTTCAACACCATCATCTCTTTTCCAAAGAAGTGGTTAATTCTCTGCAGAGCTCACTGTATGCTTCCGTTATCCTCTGCACCTCTCCTGATGGAGACAGGTAGCTACCAGGACTGCATCCACTAAAAATCTCCATGTTTGCTACAGTCTGTGAGATACAGATTTAAGAAGGTTTTACAGCCTTTTGCCTCTGTCCTCCAAGGCTACTGTTCAGCCACCAAGTGCAATTCCCTCCTTCATGAGGAAGGGAATTTGGCATTCTGGCTCAGGAGACATTATTAGGCTCATGAGTCTAAAAAGGTTGTAGGTCTCTGAGGCTGTCAGTCCTTGAATTTCTGCTCAGAGATAATCCCAGGCAGCTCCTCAGTGGAGGTTTCTCTTCAGCCAACCTGCCCATGTTTTTGGAAACTCACAGAAATACACTTCCTGTGAGATTTCTACCCTTCAGCAAAATATTCAGTGGAATTGCATGTTGGAATCAAGTGCTGTTAATGAGGGACTAGATGGAGTCAAGTAGAGACACATCTCCCAGTGGATGTGCCAATGTACCTGGCTAAAACTTACCTTTATGTTCACTGCCGTCCCCCGCTCTCTGTGTGACTCACAAAATAGTTCTTGTGATCTGGGAGAAAGGGCTGATGCAGATTTTCCCTTTAATCCTGAAAAGACCCATAAAATATGTGGAAATACAGGGCAGTCACATATATCTCAGGCAAACAGTAAAAGCATACTCAAAAGAAAGGAGAAACACAGAAACGTGTGTGATGAGTCTGCAGGTTAGTATGAAAATAACCTCAAAGTCTTCAACATCACAGCAGGGTGTCGCATTGCCACTCTCTTCCTTTTCTCCCAATGTTTACATAATGGAAAATGAGCTTTTTGCTGCTAAAGTCCACGGTTTCAGGCCCATTTCTAAGCTAGACCTAGGAAAAGTACATAGGTACCTGATGTTTTTCTGGGGCTTGTAGTTCTCAGTGATCTCAAAGCCTTTGAGAATCTGAGCTTACTTTATCTATTGTACAATTTTCAAAGCTGCCTGGGCTACTGTATGTGTGTGGGATACCTGCTGGGAGCTCCAAATGCCCTTTTACTTGCCTGAACTGAAGCAATTTTAGCTCTCTAATGAAGCAGCATCATTATCAAAACCATAAAATCATTATATTAGGTGAAACAAAACAAACAACAACATACCTGTGCAGATTACACACCACTGTGACTATGTAACACTCCTGTTACTGCAGGTTTTGGAGTAATAGCCCAGCTGGGATTTAAGATAAAAGAAACAAGGCAGGAGGAGTGTGAACGTTCCACCTGCCTGAGGTCAGAGCCAAGACTGCATCAGGGAGTGCAATTCACCCCTGGCACACAATTCATCCCTGGTGAAGGGAGTCAGCCCCAGGGTGAAGTCCCTGATCCTGCCCTGGGGCTGCTGATCTGTGGGACTCATGTGCCTCTGGGGGGAAGGTGAAGAGGTCCTACTTAGCCTTTTGTCCCCAGCTTGCAAAGGAGCTTTGAGAAAAGTGAAGAGAGGCAAAACCACCCTCCACTCCTTGCTCACACACCACCTGTTTTCAGAGGTGACAGAGTGGCTCTATTGGCAGCAGAGGATATGCTGAGCAGAGCCACCACATCTTTCTGGTGGATAAGGAGAGGCAGCAGAGGCGGGTGCTGGAGCACACTGAAAGTTTTTTTCTGAGTGCCACAGGAAAGGAAACCATTATGAGAGTGTGCTAAAAGCCTATTCATTGCTAAGGAAAGGGCTGCTGAAGAATGTGGGATGCCTGCCGAAAACTGCCAGCCAGAGCAACAGAGAGATTATTAAAGCCCTTTGCAAGGACCCCCGTCTCCTTCCTTTGGCAGTGGCAGCTCTAGACATGGAGTGGTTTCGGCCCTACCCATTGAAATCCTGTAAATAGCTGTGTGCATGGAGGCAGGAGCTGGGTCACAGCTGAGGGCCCTGTTGGTGTGGGAACTGTAGGGGCAAACGTGGATGTGCTGAGCTGTGCTCCTGGTGGGAGCAGTGCTGACCCTCTCCCGGCTGGCTGTCTCTGCTGGGGCTGTGCACACGGGAAGCTGGGGCTTTGCTCTTGCCCTGAATCAGCAACTACCTGTTCTGGCAAACCTGACAGCTGTCTCCTGCTTTCTCTGTACCATTTTCTGCCTTTCTTCCCTGCCTGCTCTTACATTTCCTTCTCTTACCACACCTTAGCTTTTTATCTCCTCGGTGTTGTTTGGGATGAGTGCCTGTGAGACAAACCCTAGCCGAGGGGAACCCATCCAAAGAACAAAGCCCCGGAGCAATGGCTCCTACAAGACAGGCTCTTTGCTCTTTAAAGTGAAGCTGATCCTGTGAGATTGGGGTGCCCATAATTATTTTGTTTTAGGACCGTTTGTTCTCCCTCCCTGCACGCTCAGCCTGGTGGGAATCCTGTAGTAGCAGGTGCTGTACAGACACACCAGGGAAGCCCCCACCCAGAAAGGGTTTCTGCAGGATGAGTAGAGAAGTGGAGGCACAGGAAGGTAGAGACATGCCCAGGGTTACTCAGTACACCCAGCTCCTTCATCTGCTTTGTCCCATGCTGTCCCCTCTGGCACCTGTACCACATATCAGGATGCAATAGCACAGCTCCAGGATATGAGCATTGCTTTCCTGCCTCTAGGAATGGCATGGCAGGGAACCAGCAGCAAGGAGGAGGTGAAGCTCTACTTTCTGGGGGTTGAGATGATATATTAACTACTCTTGGCTTCAAGGAGACTCCAACATGACTGTTTCCATACCCAAGGGTTTAAAAGTCATGAGTCAGGTCCCTCCAAAAGCATGAGACTTTATGGTTTCAAAAACATGAGGTTTGAAAGAAAAGCAAGTGCATGCTCTTAATTTGCCTTTGGTACTGGAACCCTTGGATCATATTTTTGAGGTTTTAGCCCAAAAATCAGTGTTTATTCTGCCATTTGGTTAGGCAACACAGAGCATCTTCCTTGTCTGCTTATTCAGACATACTCATGAGACTTTTCAGAACCTGAAGTCTTCGAGCCGTCTGACCCTCTGTCCACCTTCATTAAATTTCATGGATGGGTTCAAGTTGTGAGGGAATCAGCAACTATGCCCACACATAGTACCCTTAACTAAACCTTGTGTCCTTAGAAAATGGGACAGAAATAGAGGTGTCCAAGGTTACTGCTACCTTTTTAACATTACAATGAAATCTTCTTGGAGCAGAGGAAAGACATGGAAATACTTCATGTGTTGGAAAAGCAGCTCAGAGGCTGGACCAGGAGTCTCGCTGGAAAGAAGAAAGCACATTTAATAACCAAATTCAGCTGAAGCAAAACCATAGAAAACAAACTGCCTGCACAAGGAATTTGGGGGAAGAGCCAACACTGGGAAAGGGGGAGAAAAGAGCACAGGGTATTATTTAGTTCAAGTAAAAACAGAGCAGCACATCTGAAGAACATAACGGGGAGATACATGTTACAACTGGCTAGGATGAAAAGAATCAGAAAACAAAGAAGGAGAGGCAAGGAGAGCTTTAGGAGTAAAGACAGGGAGATCAGATTTTCAGGCAGAGCTCAGACATGTCAGCTAAGTGGAGCCTTGTGAGTGCTGCGTGATGCTTAATCCAAAAGGCATCCCAAATTCCAATAACAATATCCACCTCAAGCCAGAGATGCACTGCTTCACCTACAGCCTTGGGGCTCAGAAAAATACTGGTGTTTGGAGGTTTGCCCTTCCTTCCCTGCATCCATCTCAAATCCTGACTTACCTTTGCAGAGGCCACAGCTCCTAACAAGGCAGGAAGGAAGATGTTCAGCTGGGCCCAGCTAATGAAGGGTCAGAGATCTGCCTGCCAAAGCCGCATGGCATTTTCACCCCAGTGCAACCTGGAGATGAATGGCTGAGATGGAAGTACAAGTCACTTTGGTCTCTCTGCTTTACATCCCCAGAATTAAATGGAGGTGTTCTTAAAATTTCTTCTCCAGGAGGCTGTGTGCATTGTCAGGAAGTGTTCAGATCCCCCGGTGCTGCAGCACATTTATGCAAGTGGTGGCTGGGTAGTACTTGGTCCCTTAATGATCTGGTAATGAGCAGGAAGACAGGGGTGCAGCAAGGGTTCTCCAGGATATGCAAAAGGATGAACTATGTGAGGGTAATACTCAAGGATATAATACTTAAGGATGATTCCTGTGAGTCCTGTGATGGGAAACTGGCCACCCCTTGCTGCCAACTGGAAACAGAGAAAGTCTTCAGGAAAAACTTTGAGATGCAGCCTGAGCTGAAAAGGGGAAGCTAATAGGGACAGGAGATCACTATGGTGGGTCTTGCAAGGTAGGTGGGAGGTAGGAAATTCCTCCATGATAAAACAGCAATTCCTCCAACTTCTGCTCAATCCAAAGTGCAGCATGAGCAGCCAGGCACTGCCGTGTCTCACCCTTGGCAGCACAGTCGCCTGTCTTGTTGATTCAGTTCATTCCCAGTGGGACAGGATGGGGCAGGGTTTGGCCCTTTGTCTCTAGATGTCTGTCCAACTGTGGGCTTGCAAGCAATGAACCATAAAAAAGGAAGAGTTGACAATTAAATGCTCAAAATGTACTAGGACTTTGTCCAGAGTGGGCTAAGCAAACAAGCACAGATGGAGCAACCTATGATCTGCACAGTTACATGAGCTGTACATTTAAGGGTGTACTCTATGCTGCTTAATTGCTTTAATCATACTAATTTATGACCCAGGTTTCTTGCTTAATTAGTGAAATGAAAAATGAAAAGTGAATACATAGAATTAAGTCTTGACTTGTTAATTTGGCTTATAACCTCCATTACTGAGCTGGTAGAGCCGTGTTCATTTGGTGTCTGGATGTTTAATGTGGTTGTTCACATGGTTGAGAAAAATGGTGAGGAATCAGCAAAGAAAGGGACTGAGCTGATCAGCAGCCCTCAACCTCAGGGCCTCTCAGGGAAGGCTGAGTCAGTGACCATATGATGTCCTTGGAAGGGCCATTTTGGGTAAGGGGGATGCAAACTTTTGAGGTGCTGCTGTTGTGCACGACACAGCATTTGCCTGCACATCTGGGGTGAAGTTCCCACTTCATCCCCAAATGGTTCCCCCAGAACTCAGCATCTTTCACCAGCCAGCTCCAGCAGGTTCTGGATGCATTCTTCTTCATGGGACATTGACCAGTGTTGTTCCCACTCATGTGGAACAGGGCAACACCATCTCTCATGCCTCCAGGGACCCGAAGAGAACCTCGGGGAAAATGGCACAGAATCTTCCCTGCATTAGCATTTTCAGACAGGAAAGAATTTTCAAAGAATGAATTCTAGTCATAAGGTGGGGTTGGTTTTTTCCCACTCTGAAACCAATCTTTTTCTAGCTGCAGAAGGTTGTTCTCACCATACTGTCAAATAGGAAAATTTATTTTTAAACATCTGATGCAAATGCCTCTGGTTTTTTTTGTCCTCCCCTCTTTTTTCTTTCTGCTGCTTTTAATTTTTGGACTTATTCTATTATTGGATAATTGCATTGGCTAATTGCATTTAAACAGTTTTAGCAAGATTGGGTAATTAAATTCAGAGCAATTGGGCTGAAAATGCACAGAATCTGGTAGAAGTATTTCACAAGAGGCTGAACTAGATAAACAAGAAGGGATGTGTTAGTTTGTTTGAGGATACACACACATACTTAGGGTACACGGGTCCAACTCCCAGACAGGAAATGCCATATTCATGACTCTGGGCCCTTCCCCAGGACCTGGAATCAATGGAAAACAATTTCAACTGGGAATGGAGAGAATTAGATTTTCATTAACAGCAGATAAACCAATTCCAGAAATGAAAACCCCACAAGTATCTTAGGATCTTCTCTTGTCACTGTATCAGAAGCCTCACTAGCAAATATAGCTATTATTTCTCAATGCATCTAGTGAAATACAAATTCCCAATAATTCAAATTTCTAATAATTAAAAGGTTGCAGCCTGGTGTGTAGCCGTACTCTTGGCTCTCCTGTAGCCAGCAGGAAAACAACAATTTTCTTTTAATCTTGGGCATATTCTGAAATAACTTCTTGGGACCTTTTCCCCCACCATGTGTGAAGCAGGTATCCAGCAGGAAGGGACATGGGACACATGATGTTTTACCCAACTTCTTGTTGCTGGCTCCTTTCCCACTCCTCCCTGTGGCTGCTTACTTCATGCAGAGTTTCCTCCTGCAGATCTCAGGCGTGTGGGAAAGCTGGTGGGAAATGCAACAGATTTTGGTGAAGGTTTTCCCAGGCAAACCCAGCAGCCCCGGTGATGGAGCCCTGTGCTGCTTCTCAGGGCCCCACAGCACACAAGAGGGAGGAGTCATTTCCCCTTCCTAGCCCTGTGCTTTGGTCCTGGTGAGGAAATGAAATCCTCTCATTTTCTGCTCAGAGGGAAGGAGCAGGTAGGAATTGCTTGTCTAAAGCCCACCAGCAGCGTCTCTAATGTAGCTAAAGAAATTTGCAGAGCCTGGAATGAAACTTGCACCATTCTGCCTATTTACCCATCCTTCCTCTATCTCTCTCTCTCATCTGAAAGCAAAACACAAGTTTGTGAGTCACAAGCAGACTAATTTCAGAAAAGCCACTTCTGAGAGCCTCTGGCTCCTGGATGAGACACCAGCCCCACTGGAGCAAAGCTCCCACCAGTCCCAGCGAGGCATCTGACTGAGATAAAACAGGGCAAAGCACTTCTCATTAAATGACCCTGGCTGAAATAGTTTCATAAAGGGCATCTTATTGATGGCAAGGACTTCAGGCCAGGGCTGTGACTCTGCCACACCAACCACCATGTCCACACTTGGCGTGATGAGGAGTGATGGTGAGCAGAGCCAGGAGAACAAGTCTGAGCCAAGCGCTTCAGCCTTGGGCTTTTGCGAGCGCTGCCGCCTGTGTGGGCACCGGACAGGCGCAGGTCTGGGCAAAGCCTGGCAGCTCCCAGCTCCAGAGGCACAATTTCATTTTGCCACTCAAGGCATGTGGAACTGAGGCACATGATGAACGGGAAGGGGATGGTGGGGACAGATCTTGGGCAATGGGCTTCTGCTCCCGTTGGAGTAAGGAAGATGGGAGACTGGTGGGGGGAATCTCAGGGGAAACTCCAGAAAATTACAGGACACCTCCAGCTCTGACATAGATGACAGGGCCATACTTGCCTGACTTGCCATAAAACCTCACAGATTTCACTACCAGGGCAGATTTTGGCTTTTCTACCAGCATATACAAAACCCATAAGCATATGGACAGCAACCACAGCAGCAGATGGTGTCACTCAGTGCTCTATTGCACTGCCCTCCCAAGCAGAGAAGATGCTGTGAAGGACAGGGTGAAGGTCTGGCCCATGTGGTCTGGCCCCCTGAGCCCCAGGTCCTCTGCAAGAGGGGGCAGGGGGGCTGACATTGTGTGAGGTCTGTGCCTGTTTAGATCCTGTGGTGTACAGAGTCAGTGTGCCTCAGGGAAACTGGTGTTTCCTCACACCCAGGCATCTCCCCTGGGACAAGAACATCTTGTTTTTCCCTCCAGCCCCACTAAGGTGAACCTTGCTGGAGCTACACTGCATTGGGATCTGACTGATGTACAGACACTGTAGAGTTTGAAGTGCTGGCATAAAGCCCACAGAGTCATTTACTTTAAAATAAAGAAGAGCAGGGTATGGCTGTGGAAGGAGACACACACTGTGTGCACAGAGGGTTTGGGATTGGTCATGAGCCAGCATCATAGCAGCTGTCATCCCCTGAGGTGGACATAGAGACAAAACTCACCTGCTGTAGCCTGCAAAAGTGGAATGTGCTTTGCAGTTGCCAAAGAGGTGTCTTCTGGAAGTGGAAAAAGCTGGACTCTCCCAGCACATTCATGTGCTTTTGGTGGTGTAGCACTACTGGGGTCTGTAGTGAGTGTCCACCATGTGGCACCAGTCCTGTGTATGCTTGCTCAGCCTCTCACTGCACCTCAGAGGGATTTTATGACCATCTGCTACTCTCCCTGCATGTAGGGACTGCGTTTCTGAGTGCTATGAAAGTCTTTTCTCTAGTCTGGGCCCCCAAAAAGAGCACTGTTATTCTTCCAAAGGCTTCCTCCAAACATCTAAGAGAATCATTAGTAGCTTTCTGAGGTCCTGGGGGTGCTCTCTTTGGGAAAAGAAGCTTGATCCCATGTCACTACCACAGGCAGGGTCACTCTAAGCCTTCCTGGCTGCCAGCACCAGCACAGGCCCCATTGCATGACACTGAGCATTTCCAGCTCAGCAGTCTCACTTTGTTTGCATTTTATTGCCCAGGCATGACTTCTCTCCCTGCTGATGGATGTGTCCACAGTCAGTGTGCCAGGCTGGGCACAGCCTGTCCTCTAAACTGACCTGAGCTGCTGCAGGCACAACCAGCAGCTCCTGGGGTCACACAGCATTTTTGGCTCAGAAGATGTTTGTGTTGCAGTTTCCTCACTTGGGTCCTCATCTGCCTCAGGGAAGCTGAACTGGCCCAGACTGACAGAGTGGAAGGGCCCTCGAATAAAATACCCTCCAGAGAGATGATGCATTGTTGTTTTACAAACCCTCCTTCAGCAGGGTGCCACATTAACTTGGGCCACCTGACTAAAGTGTTTTGCTCCTATTTTGGGATCGTTTTCACTAGGGTGAAGCCCTAGTGAAAATGAAGATGTACCCCAGGTGGGTATCCCCCCTGTTCTATTTGAAGAACCAAAGAGAAGCTTTAATTCCCCTACTGACCCCTATAAACTGCTGCTTTTCTCTGTGGACCGTGCTGCTGTTGAAAGCTGGTCCCATTCCTCTGCTTAAGGCAGGGGCAGCTTTCCATTGAACAGATCCCAGAGTCCCAGAGCTGCAAACTGAGCAGCTCCTACCATACACTCTTTGCAAGCGCACCGAGCAGAGGCAGGAGACACTGACACCTCCTGGTATCCTGTACCACTGGGAAAAGACTCACCAGCCACTGCCTGAGAAACTCTGCTTTGGGCTGTACCCAACACAACACACTGGGCTTTACTCTGCTGCATGGCCCCCCTTGGAACCCGGTCTTGCTTTGAGGTGTCAGGAGATTCTGCATTTTTGTCATGAATACATGGTTGTTTTCTCGTTGTTTCTTTATCAAATCGTGGTTTCCCTGCCAAAGTTGTGGTTTAGCTTAAAAAAATCCATTCAGCTTTTAAATACAGTTTGCCATATAGCTCAGTGTTTGCTACTGCTGTAGAAATTTTCTTAATTATTTTGAGAACAACATTTTCATACGAGTCCAGCCCAGCTGGTGACCCCAGCAATCCGAGCAAACATTTCTGTGTCCTTTCCCCTCATGATAAACATGACTGTGCCATTGCTCAGAGACTCACAGACCACATTCTTACTGTTTTTCACGAGGTCCATTCTATTTGGCAGAATTTTTGCAATGGGAGTTAATTAGGGAAAGCTTGCTGATGAGAAAATACTTGGGCAGACGAAAGTCAGGCTCAGCCACCTCCCTTGCACCTCTAACAGAGTGAAACACAAATAAAAATTATTGCAACAGATGCCAATCAAGTTCCACATGTCTTCTTATCAGGAGCAAGTCACGACACTGAGTCTCAATATTTTGAAGTTGTACATAAGACAGGGAGTGTCACAAAATAACATCATCCTGGAAAAATAGACTAGAAATTATTCTCCACATTAAAAAAATAGGGGGGGTGGGAGAGGGAGAGCAGCACTCTTTCTTGATTTATCCTAATAAATACTTACTGTTCCTTAAATAATAGAAGAAGTAATGAAGAGCATAGCTCAAACCAAGCTCAGCCTTTTGGAGAAAATTTACCATTTCTGGTTTTCATAAGGAAGCATCCTCCAGTTCCCATCCTGTGAACCTCAGCTTTCAGATGCTGTCGGTACTGACATCCCTTGTCCCTGCAGAACCGCAGGGCTCAAACCTCAGCAGGCTGGAAGATGAAGGCAGTGGAATTAAGAGAAAGCCAGGCTATTCTGATTGCACAGTGCCACCCGCTGTCGGAGACACAGACGGCACCGGGGCCGCAGCGCGGGATGGGCGGCGCTTGCTGCTGCCATCAGTAACAAAGATATTTATCCGAGATCGATCATTCCGATAGCTAAGAGAGCCAGGCGTCTGTAAGGCAGCTCTCTACATACAGTAGGATATATACACACGGATATGTACATACTGCTGGGGTGAGCTGTGTGTATATATATATAGATAGAGATATAAATATTCAATAGATATAAATCTACATCAATCAATGCCTGTGTACCGTTCTGAGTCTTGGTGGGTCACAGAAAGCTGAGCTGAAGTGAGTGGGGACCCAGCGAGGAGGAGACCTTTCTGGAAAGCCTTTGGATGGGTCTGGAGGTCACAAGTGTCTGGTAAAATACATCATTGGGTGCCAGCCCCCCTGGGTGGCCTGCAGGTGTAGAAGGGATAGTCAAGGAGATTGGGAGGGGATGGAGATGGGTGGTGCAGGGAAATGGGGAGCTGTGTGCATGCTTCCGTGAAGATGCTTAATTTGTTTTTTGCAATAGATACATATTTTGATTATCAGCTACTTATGTGTATCAGGATGGATGGAATTATGTGATGAATATCTGCTGTGTGGACAGTGGAAAATATTTCACCCAAAGCACCATGTCACTCTCTGGGTTATGCCATTTTGCATCTACAGAAAGGAAGATATTTCCAACAGTTTTATGAGGAGCTCAGACCAGAGCATCCCAAGACCCTCCAAGCCTACAGAACTGTGTGTCCTGGGAAAAGAGTGAGCTGTGTTTTCCTATCCCTCCACCAGCCATGGCCAAAGGCAATCCAAGCAGCTGGAGAGCAGGACGTGCTCTGGCCAGCGGGAAGCTCCTGCAGGATGGTGTTCTCTTCTGCAGAGATGCCCTTGGAGAAGAGATCTTTCATTAAGATTGTCATTTGCTACCGTTTCCATCTCCACAGAGGCTGCCTCCTCCTCACAGGCAGCATCCCCAGGGAGGGAGTGCTTGTGAAATATTCATACATCAGAAGAAATTACATTTGGAAGCGTGGACTGCGAAGCGACAACTGGCTGGAGGGGCGAGCAGGGAAAAACAACAGGAGAGAGGGAGGGAGGAAAAAAAGGCAGAACATGGGAAATGGAAGGTGAACTGTGATTTCTCCCTGCCAAAATGCAGCAAGGAGCTTTGTGGGCTCTACTGGGGTTCATTTGTGAGGGCATGTGTAGGGAATAGATTTTCTTCTCTTTCAGAGATGTCTAAAGAGCATTGGTGTTCGTGCTACTGCGAGGCTGGAGAAAAACCTCACCCGAGCATGTATACAGGACAAAAATGCCCCCTAACTGCTGGCAGATCTGTGTCATGGATTTGAATAATTTGGGTGTTCCTGCAGGGTCTACTCCAATTTTAAAGAACATAAAAAAATTTCCACATTTGGGAATTTTTGGTGAAATGGGATTGAACAGCAGGAAAAAGGCAAACCCAAGACCATTTAGCCCAGCATGTCAGGACACTTCAGGCCCATGATCAACAGGAGGCACCTGAGTGCTTGGTGCAGGCTTTGGGTATCTCCAGCAAATAGCTGCAAATCTTCTACATCCTCATGGATCACTAATGTTCCACAAGCACATTGCAAGAACTCTGTGAGAAATACATATTCCCTCTTAAAAACCACCCTTTTCATTTTCTTCTCCTCTGTGTCTCCCCCTGAGGACTGGATTCCTTTTCAAGATCCAGTGCCTAAGACCTCTAGCAGTGTCAGTTACTGTGAAAACTGGAAGAACCATGGTTTTTAATACTGTGATCATAAAGATCCCCCCCTTGCTGATGCAGTCTGTTGCCCACTGCTGCTTAATTTATCCAGATACCCTGTAGGTATAGGAAAGGGGATGGATAGCATCCTACAGATGTTTTTTGGAGATGATGGCTTCCCCCCCTGCACCCTTTCAGCCTCCCTACACCCTGCTAGCTGGGTCCTCGCCTCCCTTGCAGGAAGCACACGCACACTCACATGATGCAGGAGCAAGTTTTGACTATTTTAGGGCCTGAAATTTCCCTGTCGGCATGGCAACTTTCAACTCCTCACCTCTGACGGAAGCTGCTTAAAATAGAAAATCCAGAAAGCAAGCTTTGTGCTCCATGCTCTGCAAGCTCAGCTCCAGTATGGCAGGCAGGGCAGGATCTGGCCTCACAGGGCCAGAGAAATGCCAGGGTTAGGGAAGATGACCCACAGGGCATCACCACCCCCTGCTGCAGTTTGTAAAACACAACATGAATCTTCATGACTTTTGCTGTCTAAAGGTATCCCCTCCCTATCCAGCTTTCTTAGCTCAGGGAAGCTTTGTTTCAATATTCCCAGTCTTATCCACAGCCACTGAGCCTCCATCTTTCCATGGTTATTGTCTCCATCTTGGATATATTTTCCCCCACACCTCCAGGCCTATTCACTACCACGAAACGTGCCAACCCTCCAAGCTTACTTTTTATTTGCATTTTTTTTCCTTTGCAAAACCCATTAATTTTTTACACTTACTCTTTTTCCCGAACCAATTTTTCCTCCAGCTCACACATAAACAATTGTGATTGCATGGGGTCAAGTGGGCATGTGGCGTGTCTGCTCTAATCCCCGCTTAACCTAATTCATTTTCTGCCTAAGAACAAAACTCTGTGAGATTCATTCAAGAGTCTGGATTATGTCTCTCTTGGCCTACAATGCTCACATAGGATTAGGGAATAAAAAAACCTAGAAGTCATTGGCGAGGCACTAAACCTGCAAACAACCCAAACACCTTAAAAATCCCTTTCTGTGCCTGGATTTGAGCTATGAGCCAGGATGTGCGGGAAGATCTTCTCCACTGAAACGTCACTGTCAGCACAGAGTCCAGCCCTCAGGGCTATTTTTAGGTCAATGGGGATCTGGACCTTGCTGTCATATTTTGTGCCTGAGGGCTTTTTCCCCTTATTTTCTCCTCTCTGCATCCCAAAGTTTTCTGGGCAGTTCAGCAGATGGAGCTGGGATGTCTGGGGGGCTTTATTCAGCTTTCATATGGGAAAAATAAAATCAATCTTCTACATCAGGGAGAAGGGCTTGTTTTCTACAAACACAATCACTGCTGCTTGTTGTTGCTTCTAGGGGAGCTTGTTGACATTTTTCAATCAAAATATTTTCCACTCTCCCTCCAATTGATGTCTTTTTCTTTTCTCCCCTCCTCCTCCTCCTCCTCCCCTTCAGTTTGGCAGGTGTTGTTTTTTTAAACAATTTATGCACTTTCATTTCTATGTGTTTTTGAAAGGGCAACAAACACCCAAGCATGTTTCTCTCCCTTTCTGCAGGTGGGCAGTGAGTATTAACATAAAGACTTTCTCTCCTGTCTTTATTTTATTTATTCCCATCCTTTTTCCCACTGCTTTCCTCTCTCCTGAACTTGACAAAACTGCTCCAAGCAGGCAAAGGGCAAATCCCAGCTTGCCTCTGGAGAGCTGGAGGCACCCCACTGAGCCAGGCAAGGCCAATAACCTCTGTTTTCCAGGATTAAAATTGATTCACTTCACTTTTCCTTCTTAATTTGAGATCCAGGGATGCTTGACTGAGGCACCTCTAACAAGGCATCTTCTCAAGAGTCTGCTGCAGGCTCCTGGCTCCAGGGGGATGCAGGACTCTGCTGGGAGGAGAAGTCACCTCCAAGCACCGGGACGAGATCTTGTCAGAAGCAAGCCTGGGACACTGTCCCCTGCAGATTTTGCACCTTTTGTGGGGTATTCTGACTCTTTTAAAAGCTGCCGCTTGAAATGGGGATTACCTGACTTCAGGCAATGACTTTTGTCTGACTTGCATTTTGAAATCACCACTCATAGATTCCCTCAAAGGAGAAACAGGGATGTCCATTCCCCAGACAGACAGAAAACCTCAGGGTTGTATCTCTTACACAAAGTGCCAGAGGAGATTTAATGCTTTACTACCGCAGCGTGTGCTGTTGTTCAGCCTAAGAGGCAGCAAATCCCCATTTCCCAGGCAAAGCTCCTCCTGAGCTCCTCTATGGGCATGGGAGCTGCTACAGCCTCCAAGGAATGACAGGAAGAGTGTGGGATATCAAGAAAAAGCAGTCCAGCTGGACAAGCAGGTATCTGCAGCTCATCTAAAGGACTTGCAGATAAGAGAAAAACAGCAACAGAAATTTCAAAAGCAGATTAAGGGAGTGAAAAAGTTCATTAATCTCATTTCACTCCCAGGTGTTTGGGAGTGATTTACCAAAGTGTGCTCATTCCAAACATCAGCTTTCCTGGAGCCATTGAACAGTGAGGCAAAGTTAATATGCTCATGTAGTTGCCTTTATATAAATGTCTATGGTGTCATTATTAACACAGTCAATACCAGGGGCTTTATTTCTTGATTCCCCTGAGCAGGACACGAGTCCCGAGGTGCCCTGGGTGTGAAGCCCTTAAGCTTGGAGCTGCAGGTGGGTTCCTGCAGGACTACAAAGGGTGCCTGTGCTCGAGCTGCCCAAGCAGACAGGGTAAACACCCTCAGCCCTAACTATTATAGGAAAGAGTGAGCCCACATGTCCTGGCTCACTCCCTGAGGGACACCCAGCAGAGGAGCTTGTGGTCACCCGTGCCTCCCTCCTGCCCCGCCGCTTGCCTTTGCTGTGGCTGCAGCTGCTTCCATCTGAATGGTGGAGCCTCTCTGACCTCTGCTCCCGAGGGAGTGCACCCCTCCTTTCCCAAATTCACTATCTGTCTCCTGTTCCTCCTCCTGTGCAGCCCCAGTTCCTCCCTCAGATGCCCCTTCCTCTGCGGCAGGCCCTGGCAGTGATGGAGCTCCCTTTGGGGCAGCTCTGGGTTAGCCCACTGCTCCCAGCTGACACTGTTCATCTCCCAGAGCTGTAAACAACTCATTGAAAGTAAATCAAAGTTAAATATCTGAGCCCCCTTCCTTGTTTGGAGCTTCTCCATCAGCCTCATGGTCTTACCTTGCACGATGGCCATGCCATCACAATGCTTCAAGCTTTGGCACAGGGATAGGACAGAAATTTGTGTGTGCATCTACAGAGAAAAGGGGATGATCAGTATGAGGAGAAAGGATCAGAGAACCTGGCACAATCAGAGACCTGCAGATCAGAGAATCTGCACAAACCTGCAGAAGATTTGTGCCAACAAAGGATGTTTTTTCCTCTCTGTCGCTTTCATTCCTGTTTAACTCTCCCCAGCCCCTCACCAGCCACCAGCTGAAGCCCAAAACCAGCTTTCATTGCTCAGGCTCTGTCTGAGGGAACAGAAACCTGCTGTGAGAAGCCCAGATGTTGGGATAAATGGAAAATTTCCTAAAATTGTTGCAAAAATCAGCTACTATTTAATTTAGATATTGCTAATGAGAATTGCCTGGGTAGGCTGTACAGATTAGTAGAAAGTCCCTTCCATACCTCTCCGTCAGTCTGACT